GAGCGGCTTACAAACTCCTTTCCCTTCCCCTCCCCACAACAGACACCCTGTGAGGTAGGTGGGGCTGAGAGAGCTCTGAGAGAAACTGCTATTGAGAGAACAGCTCTTATCAGAACTATGGCTTGCCCAAGGTCATCCAGCCAGGTGCAAGTGGAGGAGTGGGGAATCAAACCTGGTTCTCTCCCAGATTAGAGGCCGCGCACTTAACCACTACACCAAACTGGCTCTCTCTAAGGCGTGCACACGAAAGCTCATACCTTGAATAATAATAAGAAGAGATTGGATTTGTACCCCACCCTTCACTACCCGAAGGAGTCTCAGAGCGGCTTATGAACTCCTTTCCCTTCCCCTCCCCACAACAGACACCCTGTGAGGCAGGCGGGGCTGAGAGAGCTCTTTTGAGGACTGCTCCTGAGAGAACAGCTCTGACAGGACTATGGCTTGCCCAAGGTCATCCGGCAGCTGCGAGTGGAGGAGTAGGGAATCAAACCCGGTTCTCCCAGATTAGAGTCCACGCCCTTAACCACTATACCAAGAGCCGTGCTGTATCCAACCCAGGGCCCAACAAGTCCAGCCTTCTGTCTGCTCGGTTGCTGACTGGCTGCCTCTAAGAAGCCCACAAGCAAGATGGCGGCGACAGCATAACATGACGCCTAACGTCCTTTACCTGTAACATCAAGGGCGGCGAGGGGTTGCGACTTTCCGAACCACATTTCATTAGAAAGACTATCTTTTTAAATGTTGTTGGGGGTCCCTCTCCCCAGACAAACAGAGCCAGTTAACAGGTAGTGGAACGCAGACCAGGAATGACAGCCTCCAGGTGGGACCTGGGGAACCCCTGAAATTACAGCTCGTCGCCAGACTACACAGATCAGTTCCCCCTGGAGAAAAGGGATGCTTTGGAGGGTGGACTGTGTGGCCCTGTTCCCCACTTAGGTCCCTGTGCTCTCCAGGCTCCACCCACAAATCTCCAGGAGTTTCGTGACCTGGAACTGGCAATCCTACCCCCCCCCCCCCATCCCCAGCCGGTGGCATGGAGGGACTTGACAACCGTTACACAGACTGATCTGCAGTTCCAGCTTCAGCAGAAATAGGGGTGCTGATGTGTCAAAGACTGTTTGGGATAGTGGTTAGGGTACTGGACGAGGACAAGCAAGAGCTACAGACCATGCCTAAGCAGAGTTAGTCTGGTCTCAATGAAATCAATGGGCTTACATGGGAGTAACTCTGCACAGGACTGCCCTGTCGGTTTCCAAATGTGTTCTCACTGAGTGACCTTGGGCCCGATGCTGCCTCTCAGTCAAACCTACCTCTCACAGGGCTGCTGCGAGAATAAAATGAAGGAAAGAGGGGATCATATAAGTGAAGAAGGGGGTAGTAAAAATAAGCAAACTGTAATGCTGGAAGGTGAAACACTGTGAGTGTGCGGCAGGGTGGGAAACTTTCCAGTACTATACTTTTCCATGGAAAACTTTCCATCCCACTTACGTAAATATAGTTTACAGTTGTCAGGGCAAATCAATCGTGTTAGATGGGACTAGATGTGGGATGCGAAGCATGGACGAGCCCCAAGGCTCATATATGCTCCAGGACTTGCACATGGTGTATTCGCCTTCTTTTGCCACGTTATTTAAATTGGAATTGAAAAATGTTCCAATTCATATTTTCCCGGAAACCCACACCACTGTAATCAGGAAACACTTTGGAGAGCCAGAATGATGTGGCGGTTAAAGCGTTACACTAGATATGGGAAACCCAGGTTCGAATCCCCATTCTGCCTGCTGGGTGTCAAGTAGCCCTGTCATAAGTCTGGTGTGTGGAGGGGTGCCCTCCCCTTCATTGCGTCATTCCTCCCTGGCTCACCACCTTGTTGCTGGTAGGCTCCGAGTTGGTGTATCCTCACTGCAAGACCTCATGGGCTGGAAGGGGGGTGCAAAGGAAAACCCATATGGGTGGACTGGAGAGCCAGCGGCGCAGCACTGGGCAGACGCTCCCACAATACTTGACTGCTGCAGACAAGGTTGTTCAGCCATGCTGAAACCACAATCCCCGCTGAGCAGTCTCCTGTTCCCTCCCTTGCAGTAGTTGCTCGCAGGCTGCATCTGAGCCAAGAACGGGCCGGTTCCGGCCCCCGGGCCTTATGTTTGACGCCCCCTGTATCAGAGCTTGGAAACTAAACAGGGCTGGCCACGGTTAGTGCTTGGATGGGAGACTACCAGGGAATACCAAGGCTGCCATGCAGACGAGGGCAAAGGCAAGCCACTGCTGTTCATCTCTTGCCTTGACAACCCCTGAGGGGCTGCTGAAAGTCAGTTGCGACTTGGCAGCACGAAATTATTACGTATGTGTTATGGAGCCCTAGAAACTGTAAGAATTGTTTGGTCCCACTGATGATGGGCAATGATTAATTTGCATAAAAGAAATGGATTCTTAAAATTCCAGCTCAATGAATTCAGCCCCAGTTAACACAGATGGCTGCTGCTAACTTCAGCACTTGTCAGGACAAACGAGATAAAGACTTTGGCACCTGTCCTGAACTTTGGGCAAGTCACGAGTTTGGCCAAGAATATCAATACACTGAAGCAACACAGTTTGGAAACACCAACAAGAAGTCAAAGCCCAGGACGGAGTCCAGGGCCAATTGACTGTCCATCACTCCCTTCCTGAGCAACTTATCCTGCTCTATGCTATTAAGTCCCTAATACTCTGTCACCCTGGCTGTGACAGCATTTGATCTCCAGATAAACAACACATTAAAAGGTAAAGGTTCCCTTGCTCGAAAGCCAGTCGAATCCGACTCTAGGGTTGCGGTGCTCATCTCCGTTTCAAAGCCGAAGAGCCAGCACTGTCCAAAGACATTTACGTGGTCATGTGGCCGGCATGACTAAACACCAAGGTGCACGGAACGCTGTTCCCTTCCCACTGAAGTGGTACCTATTTATCTACTTGCAATTTCTTGCTTTCGAACTGCTAGGTTGGCAGGAGCTGGAACTAGAGACAGGAGCTCACTCCGTCATGCGGCACACTTGGGTCTCGAACTGCTGAACTACCGACCTTCCACAGCCTGCAGTTCAGCGTCTTAACCACTTGAGCCACCGCAGCTCCTTTGCATGAAGGGTGGGGTATAAATTCAATCATCACCACCATCATCTCCTCCTCCACCACCACCACCACCACCATCACTACTCTTAACCACTTGAGCCACCGCAGCACATTAGATTGCACTTAATTTCACAACTAACTAAGGAGGTACGAGGATGATGGAAACGTATAGAAAATACTGATTCAAAGAGCAAGCAGTACGAGGATGATGGAAACGTATAGAAAATACTGATTCAAAGAGGAAGCAGCCTTCGTTGAGAACAGATGGATGTGATTACCTCCATGCACAGAAAAAGAAAACATGCATTCAGGCATCATGTGAAACCAGAATGCACACAAACCTGGCTTGACAACATTCCTGGCCTTTGTTCGGTCTCACATGGAGCAAAATGGAGCAAAATGAAGGAACAAACTCCAGTGATGTAAGAATACAAGCAGGGAGTTAACCAGAGACATGAATCCCAATTTGTGGATTAAGCATGGATCAAACCATGGTTTAGAATTGTCAGTTTCAAGGGGGAGGGGGTAAGAATTCTGGTTAACCTATGCACCTGTATTCATAAGCATCCCTTTCCTCCAAGGGAACTGATCTCTGTAGTCTGTAGCAGTGTTCCCTCTAAGCTGAGTTAGTGTGAGCCAGCTCACAGTTTTTTAGCCTCCGGCTCACACATTTTTGTCTTAGCTCAGGGAGGACGGCTCCGGAGCAAACTAATCTGTGCAGTAGTTGCCAGTAGTTCACAAAGTAGAATTTTTGCTCAAGGGACTCCCCAGCTTAGAGGGAGCATCGGTCTGGAGATGAGGAATAATGGTAAGGGATCCCCAGGTCCCACCTGGAGGCTGGCAACCCTAGCTAGAAGGCATCTGGGTTCCTTAAACTCTGTCACCAGTCCTGCTAAAGATGAAGGATGCAGCTCTCCTGTCTAAAGAGTTGCCCCCCCTTTCAACCCGCATGGTGTATTGCTTGAACAGGATCTGGGGGACTCAGGTTCAAATCCACACTTGTTGCCATGGAAGCCTGCTGGGTAACCTTGAGCCAGCCGTACACTCTCAGCCTCACCTACCTCATAGGGCTGTTGTGAGGATAAAACAGAGAAGAATGGTGTAAGTTGCTTTGGGTCCCCATTGGGGAGAAAGGAAGAATCTAAATAAAGCCAACAGATAAGTAGACAAAACAAACCCCACTCGCCCCCCCCTTGCTGTGCCTTTTCAGGTTAACCCCTGCCACTCCATACTGAACCATCGACTTCCTCCCAGCCCCCTGCAGAGCTTCTCTTAAACCCCTTCATCATCTCCACAATAACCATCCCCAGTCCAGGGGCCTGAAGCCGCCTAACCTGCCCCTCCTCCTCCTCTTGTATGCAAGGCACTAAATGTGGCGTAGTGGTTAAGAGTGTCGGACTAGCCCCTGGAAGACTCAGATCCAACCCCCCACTTGTGCCATGGAAACTCTCCGGCTCATAAAAACATCAGAGAAGCCAGTGTGGGATCAGGCCAAAGGCCCATCCAGTCCAACACTCTGTGTCACACAGTGGCCAAAGATGCCAGGTGCCTTCAGGAGGCCCAGCAGTGGAGCCAGGCTCGTCTTGGGCCAGCCACGCTCTCTCAGCCTAACCCACCTCACAGGGTTGTTGTGGGGAGGAGCCAACGGAGGAGAGAGGGATGTTTTAAGCCACTTCGGGGGCCCCCCTGGGAAGAAAGCCAAACTGTCAATGAATGAGACAGACCAGCGAGTAAGGGGCTGCCCTTCCTTCGTTTGAAGCCCGCATTTCCATACAGGAGCATCATCATCCGCCTCGTTCACGGCTGGCCCTGCCTGGGGCCTAAGGCAACCCTCCTCCTCCTCCCCACCTGCAGCCTGCCCGCCTGTCATCCTCCCCCGGGCCCTGCAAACTTCTCACCGGACCCCGCGTTAGGCTCCCCGTCCGGCCGCCGCGTCCTGCACTGACCCGGAAATAGCTTGTAAAGGAGAAGGTTGGCGGGGAGGGAGGGAGGGGGAAGCCAAACATCACGTGACTTCCCCAGCAAGCCCGGTCACGTGAGGCCTCCTGGAGCCGAGGGGGGCGGAAAGAGGCGAGCGGTTACCATGGAGACCGGGGAGGCTTGCCCGCCGCGGCGAGGCCCGGCGCGGCTTTTCTTTTTTTTTTCCTTCCCCGTTTCCCGACAGGCCTTGCGGCCAACGGTCCTCTTCGCGGCCTCTCTCTCTCTCTGGCGGGGGGGGGCGCCCCCCCGGGGGTCCCGATGAGCCGGCGGCGCCGCCGCTTTGTGATGCTGCCGTCGAGGAGGGCTTGAGGGAGACGGGAAGGCGCGGCAGGGACGAGGAAGCGCGGGAGAGAGGCCTGCCGTGAATTTCAGCAGAGCCCTGCTGGGTCAGACCAGTGAGGGTCCATCCAGTCCAGCATCCTGTCTCACACAGGGGCCAACCAGTTCCTCTAGAGGGCCAACAACAGGGCAGAGAGGCTGAGGCATCCTGTCAGTGGCCAACCAGTTCCTCTGGAGGGCCAACAACAAGGCAGAGAGGCCGAGGCCTTCTTCTGACAAGAACATCTGAAGAGCCCTACTGGGTCACACCAGTGGTCCATCTAGTCCAGCATCCTGTCTCACACAGGAGCCCTAATGTATCCAAACCTGTGTTTTGTCGTCTGCTGCATTTTCTTATCCTTGTGCAGTTTAGATGTAACAAATCAGTTACAGCATGCACAACATTTTATACATACACAATCCCATAAAAATCTATTATTATGGAAGGCAGAAACCATAATTTATTTTATTTTTATCAATGTTTAGGTAAAGACCTTAAAGCCTCACATAATCTATTTAAGAGTTTATGTTGTACCTTTAAATGGGTTACGATACCAAGGTGGGCAACAACTGGAGGTAAACAAAAAAAATCAAATAAAATACAAAAATAATAAAAAGTCAAACTAATATTTAAGAAATGATCAAAGAACATGCAGCAGAAAATATGTTTTCCATTAAATGTATGTGTGTATTGTTAGTAATTCAAATTTTATTTCAATTTTATTATTAATCCAAATCCCCTTCTTCTAGGGAACTGTCAGGAGACCATCCCTTTATCCTTATAACAATCCTGTGAAGTAGATTAGGCTAATGACTCACTAAGGGCCCTCCAGTGAACTTCATCACCAACAGTGCAAATCTTATGAGTGTTTACCCAGAAGTAAATCATAGAAGTAGTAAATAGAAAATGTGCACCTTCTTCCCTCCCTCCTCAAAATATGTATGTAGCCCCAAATTACTTGAAAAGTAATTTTAAAATTTAAAAAGAATTTTAAAAATTTTACAGTCAAAACTGAGACCATAGAGTTTATTACAGAGCAGGGGAAATAACTTCATCACACAATGAGCAGAATGCTGGGCTGGATGTGCTGCATTGCAGCTTAAATTTGAGTCCTGGGAGGGAGGACTATGGGTGAATAATTTTAATTTGTTTATATATACTCCTTTATAGTCCATCTTTCTCCCTGAGACTCAAGGCAGATTATACAGCGTAATCGATAGCATGAGACATCGAATAAGCAATGTGATAGGACTAAGATTATAGAAATAGCCAGGAATGTGCATATACGTTGGAAGAATGAAAACTGAAGAATGCAAACTAAATACACTCCTACATTTACCGTGTGTGTGTGTGTATGTGTGTGTGAAGTGCCATCAAGTCACTTCTAATTTATGGTGACCCTATGAATTAATGACCTCCAAACTGCTCTGTCATTAACAGCCTTGCTCAGGTCTTGCAAACTGAGGGCCCTTGTGGCTTCCTTGATGGAGTCCATCCATCTCCTGTTGGGTCGTCCTCTTTTCCTGCTGCCCCCAACGTTTTCTAGCATTATTGTATTTTCCAGTGACTTGTCTTCTGATAATGTGACCAAAGTATGAAAGCCCCAGTTGAGTTATTTTAGCTTCTGGGGGGGGGGGGATCAGGCTTGATTTGATCTAGAACCCACTTATTTGTCTTTTGGGTGGTCCGCACAGGATCCGTAAAACTCCTTCAGCACCACATTTCATATCAATCAACTTTCTTCCTGCCATCTTTCTTCACTGTCCAGCTTTCAGACCCAGACATAGTAATGGGGAATATTATGGTATGAATCATCTCAATCGTGGTCACCAGCAACACATTCTTACACCCCAGCTCCTTCATGGCTGCTCTTTCCAGTCTCAGTCGCCTAATTTCTTGGTTGCAGTCTCCCTTTTGGTTGATGATGAAGCCAAGGAATGAAAGAAAACAATTTCTTCATTGTCGACCTTAAAGCTGTGTAATTCCCCAGTAGTCATTAGTTGTATTTATTTATTTTTATTTATTTATTAAATTTGTATCCCACCCTCCCCAAATGGGCTCAGGGCGGCTTCCAACAGCGGCAAATGCCATAACAAACAAAACAGTATAAAAACAATCAATAAATAAAGTGCGGTTCTCTAGATGTTAACTTATCGCTCCAAGATGGGATCCATTTATCAACCTAGCCTGACAACATAAGTACTTGGTCACCTAGGCGTCTTCTCAGGGCCAGTTCACTTATAGATCTAATCCATCGTTGTAGATGGCAACTTGGTGGTGGCATAATGTATCTTCTTGATGTTCAGCTGTAGTCCTGCTTTGGCACTTTCTGCTTTAACTTCATCAGTAGTCATTCCAAGTCTTCATTATCTTATGTCAGTAATGGGACATCATCTGCATATCTCAGATTGTTAATGCTCCTTCCACCAATTTTGATTCCGCCTTCTCTAAAGCTAATCTAGATTGCTTTATGATGTGCTCTGCATACAGATTGAACAGATAGGGAGTTTTAAAACATCCTTGTCTGACACCTTTGCCAACTGGGAACCATCTTGAGCCAGCTTGCTCCAGCATAGGCGGGATATAAATTGAAAGTAATGAATAATAAATATCTGTTTCTCATATTCCTCTGATCTACCATGCTGACACAGCAGAGACGGTGAGCGCAGGTCGTGAATTGCCGTATCGTTGGTGGTCATTGATTGCTCTGGAAAGCTGGCAGTTTCATCCTGAGGTAGACATTCAAATCTATTTGGATGCTTAAAAGGAGCGAAGAAATCCTCTAGCTTTGCTTGCTCAGAGGAGTTGAGCATTGCTCTTCAAATGGATTTTCATCCCCATCGTTAAAAGATCAGGACTAGGCCATTTGCAGGATCAGGAGGAGAAAATCCTCGGGCCCTTTTTTCATATTCTGTCCTAACAGTAGCTTCTCCACAGTATAGGGTGCACATCGAAACAGCCAGACGTTGTGGCACACCGGTGTCTTTTAAAACCAACCATTCCTGTTCATGATCCACTCAGTCCAAAGCTCTGCTATAATCTATGAAACACAATCTGATTTTCTGTGGAATTTGTCTTGCACGCTCCAGTAACCAGCGTAAATTTGCAATATGGTTTCTAGTGCCTCTTCCTTTTTTGAATCCAACGTGAACATCTGGCAAATCTCATTCCATATATAGTAACAGTCTTTGCTCCAGTTTCAATACTGTTGGGGATGGAGGAATCCTTGAAGAGCAGCTCCTGAGCAGCATCAGTAGTGGAAGGTGACCCTGGCAGAGGATCTTTCCTAGACAATGGTACTGCCACTTCAGCTCACCTGGCTAATAATGCACAGAGGAAGGCAATGGTAAACCACTTCTTTTTTTCTTGATATTTTTGCATTCTTTTACATGAGTGCCCGTGCCTGGAAGTCATGGGGACTTCTGGCGACTCCTACTGGGGCATGGAGGACGTTCCAAGAAGTGGCTTGATAGCCTGCCTCTGCCTCCCAACCCTGATATTCTTTGGAGGTCTCCCATCCAAAAACTTGCCAGGGTCAGCCCTGCTTAGCTTCTGAGATCTGGTGAGATGAGATCAGGCTCGCCTGGGCTATGCAGGTCAGGGCAATAGTAAACCACTTCTGATCATCTCTTACCTCAAAGACCCTATGATGATACAACTCATATATATGCACACAAATTAACACATGGCTCATGCATGCCTCGCAGGGCTCTTTTTGTAGAAAAAGTCCAACAGGAGCTCATTAGCATAATAGGCCACACCCAACACCAGAAACATATTAGCATATTAGGCCACACCCGTGCCAGTACAGCTCATTAGCACATTAGGCCGCACCCCCATGTTACCAGAAGTGTGGTCATCCAGCCACACCCACCTTTTGCTTCTTATTCTGTTTACCTTGTTTGTTGTCAAAAACCAGGGCTTTTTTGTAGCAGGAACTCTTTTGCATGTTAGGCCACACACCCCTAATGTAGCCAATCCTAATGAGTTTCTGCGGTTGGGTCTGGCCTATTATGCTAATGAGTTCCTGCTGGGCGTGGCCAACTTGGGAGCCAGCCAGAACTCCGTTCCTGTGCGTTCCTGCCCCAAAATAGCCCTGCATACCTGTATTCTTTCAGCCACCCATACTTTTCTCTGGCTGATGTAATTCTGTGGCACCCTCATGAAATATTTTCCATTTTTTTGCCATTTGTGTGTATGGATTTATTATATTTTAGATACCATCTTATCTTTCAAACAGTAGAAAATACAGGGGCAACTTCATGGGCTTCATTACCTTCAGAGGAGAAGCTACAAAAATACTGGAAGACTTCCGGGCTATTTATTTACAAATACGAAATGGAGCAATTAGAAAGCAAGCAGCCAAGTGGGCAGTAAAAATGCAGGCACCTGGTTAAATTTATCTCCCCTCCAACTGAGATGCTAACAGTACCATTTTGTTACTCCAGTCGAAGCCATTGAAATAACTGGGTTTAGACTGGAGTAAATCTGATAAGACTGCAAATGTAAATTTCAGTTTAACAGAGTCCAGGTTTGGGAGGGGAAGGGGAAACAAATTCTAGTTTGCCCAGGCACCTGCATCTGGACATCACGAGCGCGCGCACACACACACACAGGCAGGGCTATTTTGGGGCAGGAACGCA